GCATAATTTGAGTTGACCCAATTGTGAAAAACTCAAGGCGTTCGACGGAATTTGAACCCGGCTTCCGGTAAAGACCTTCTCTAATACGCGGGTTTAAATCCTGCCGAACGCCTCGAGTTTTTTTCGCAATCGGGCCAACTCAGACATTCTTACTGTCAGACAGTTCGGTGAAGTAAGAGCTGCTGTTGTGCATAATTTGATCTGACCGAAGGTCTCGCCTGTTCTTTCTTCTCGATCTTTCCCGGCACAAAAGGAGGGCCTCCGATAAAGATTGTAGTGGCGTCATTAGATGTGTTAGTGCGACATAACAGTCCTATAAGGTTAGCATAACGATGACGCCATTCATGTTAAAATAGAGCCCTCAGCTTCCTTAGACCGGATAGCAAATGAGCGGGGGCGGACTGAGCCTATCGTGTTTAGCGGCTGGGCTGAATGCACTGCTTATCAGAGAGTCGTGTGCCGACGGTGGTGATCGCCAAAGCAGTTGAATTACCTAACTTGTTCATTTCAAAATCGGGGCCGCCATGATATTATCTTTAGCCGAGGTACTTTCCAGATCTTGCTTACTTTTACCTTGGAAGCTTCTGCGGCCGTGTCGTGCTGAATCAGATGTGTATTGCCGGTCTGGTTCTACTTACTTGGATCGTTGATACGCTTTTTCATTTTAATTGAATCAATAACTGTAATGAGACAATGGGCACGGTTCTATAATTGGAAGAGATTAGAAGAACATTACTATATCGCTTACAAACAAAGCCTCCAATCTTAGTAGTAGCGAAATCAATTCAGTTTGTGCGGGAATAGGATGGAAAACTCAAATAATAAAGGAGTTAGGGGAAATAAAATGGGGGCAATCAGCTATATGGTAAACAGTATGGTGTTGACTAATATGAAAATGTCATATTAATGGATTTAACGTTAATGCCAAAGGTATAAACGGTAAAGTAACGCATCTAGTGTTAAAAGGAGGCAAATAGTTATGCTACTGTTAAATGGATGGAAGTGGGGGCAACAGGAGATCATATGTGGGGACGTATACTATCGATATTTTCGGACTTTTTGTCTATTTCACCGGCTTCCTGACTGAAGCTTATTTAACATTCACAGCTGCTGGTAAATTCTTTGAATTTGTAAGCTTAGTGCTTGGCTTGAAACCTGGGACGCGAGTGGCTTGCGGCTTTCTGATCAGTTTCATTAATCGGGGTCGAAATGCATTCGGTCAACGCCTTATTTTCTATTATTTTCCGCCATTTGGTTAGATTAAACACGCGGATGCACTCTGACTCACCACTCTGCCTGTCACCTTTTGGGTGGCTACACAAAAACTCGTGCATTTTGGACGCCGGAACCAGCCAGGTTATCACTCGGCACAGTGCCAACTACTTGACCAGCCGCACAAACTGTCACCTGTTCTAGTCACCGCGGCATGAATCAGCCAGCCTCCTTTTCGTTGCTTTTTGCTGATGAGTCATTCAATTGGTCGAAGTATTGCTCGAGCGGCAAATCTACCTGCTGCACGTAATACGATAGTTCGACTGTCGATTCCGATTATGTTTGTCGTATGCTGCACATCCGGCTGGTGCAGGGACGTTGACTTATGTGGGGAATTTGTTTGGAATGATAGTAGACTTGCTCTGCATCTAACGCACCATCTCTCTCTTTCCCCTCACCCACC